AATGATTCGAAATTCACTTAATCAGCTGTTCAGGCCAATTTAATTGTTGATTGGTGCAATTAGTGTTTGATACAATATTTCGATACATCACTGTCATTGGCAATGAGAGGTTATAAACGAAAACATAACCTCTCTTAGAAGTTATGGGTAGTATTTTCTTGTAATTAAAACACTGTCGTAGGTAAAGTAGTGTACGCAACTCGCGTAAATAGTGTTAACGACACTCGTAGTTAGTTTTTAAGGCACTCGCCAAGGCTCGTACCTCTCTATGTTATGTATGTTCTACTCGTGTCGTTACTCGTTAACACTAACTTTACGCAATCGTTGCGTAAACTACTATTTCCATCATGAAATGTTCTATAATTTGATACCAAACCAGATTTTTTAACAATAATTTAAAACTTTACACTTTTTTAAATGGCGGCCAAAAACCCGTATGTTGCGTAACAGTACAAATGTTTATTTTTAGTAGGGTCTATGTTTTTTATAAGTGTACTAGGTGAAACCCGTCGAAATCGACGGTTACTTTTAAGGCGTGCTAAATCATCTGCTGCGATAAAATGAGTGAAATTATACATATTTTGAGCATTTAGCATTGTTTAAAGATTAATAAGTGTAAAAACAATAATGATATCAATTGCCTTAGTTACCAAAACATGGTTGATCATTCAATGAATAAAATATTTCCTATACTGTACGTCATCGGAGTTATTATATTAGTATGTTATCTGGTATCTCTTCCTTTGGAAGAAAAAATCGTATTGGCGGATCTGTAGTTAAACACTTCCGTGATTCCATCAGTGTAATGCAGATTAATCTAGGATTTTATTTGAAAAAAATATCTGTTTGTTGGGAAGACACGTTCTAACTTCAAACGGAGGTATATCCGTTACAGCGTAAGTTTGAGTTTTCCTTCGTCACGTCGCGTCAGTTCATATCGTACTTCTGTGCCGATGAATAACCCTCTAGCACAGCTTTGAGAAATTGGTTGTGGGGTTACTGTTAAAGCTGGAATTCCTTGACATGGGGGATGTCAGTTAGTTGTCTCAGCCTTATCAATTACATAAAGTTGTCAATATAATCTCTCTACAGAATGTTTTAGGTGTAGTGGAATATACTTGAAGTGAAGTTGGATTTTATTCTTGAACTGTTAGGGACCTCCTCATTTATATGATCGTGCGGCTTCATTGGCAACAAAATAATGCAAAATGCCATGATACAGAAGAAAATAAATTTTAAAATCAGAAAATAACATTGAAAATACTTCTTTTGGGCAATCTATAAATGTGTGTTGTTTAAAATACAATTTAAAAACTAACAGCTGTTTCATTAAAAAGTATTATCCACATGGCCAAAATGTAAACAAATCTGTGGAGGGATCTTTAAAGGCTTCTGGGGCAGAGCCCTAAGCGAATTTACTTAGTTTTTCTTTTGATAACTCATCTACAGACCAAGACCTTTCTTTGGACACCTCTACCATGTTTCTACGCCCAGCCGTTCTCTCAAATTAGTGGAGACAAAGTTTCCAATTGAATATTTAGATTTCCCCATGTTAATCTTATGGGAGAAAACCCAACCTTGATGGAAGATCCTGCGCAAACTAATAAAGATATCAAAAAACTAAAAACACTTTGCAAAACTAACAGATCAGGGCAATTTGTTTGACACTTTAATCATCAAAATCGGTCCAAAAATGAAGGAGGAGTTCTGTTTACAAAAAGCGGCTTAGCGTAAGGCGACCGTGATTATTATATATAGATTACCTACCATTTCTAACTGGAATAATTTATGTTGCAATTAGTTCGAGTTCCACCTCAAACACTATTTCTACTACTGCACTAGTATGCGATCTGTCGTCTGTTTTGTTTACGTTTATCTTAAGCTCTTTTCTTCTGCTCCCGCTTCACTACTTAAGTTAGCTGTTTGATTAGGCCTAGCTTAGCTTTCTTTACTTTTTTATTCTCGGAATATTTTTAAAAAGAAGTTCTGAATTCCTTGTGGTAAATTACATATTAATTGTATTAATGATGTGTCCGGTAGGTAATGAAAAAAGGATCGAAAGGACTTTGGTTTCTCTTTCTGCTGTAAGCAATATATGTTCAGCAGCCATAAATTATTTTTTCAACATAAAAAAATATACATAACGATAATTAAGCTCTGTTATAAGTTTGGTACCCATTTATTTTACTCAGCCCTAATAATTTCTTAGAATTCAAAGTCAATTTAAATTTTTTTATTTCTTCTATAAATCATACACTTTTATGGCCTATTTGCTTACTTAGGCAACATAGAATATAAATCAACACAGAGGATACGCGTCCGGTAACCGTACGTCGATTAGACGTCCGGCAATGACGTCATGGGGTTGCGGGAACCTGGAACGCCTTTACTACAACAATACCATCACCAACCATCGGTGGTCGTGGTGTAGTGGATAAGATGCTCGGCTGATATGCAAGAGGTCCAGGTTCGAGTCCCATTGGTGACATTAACTTTTTGTCGAAGATTTTGCATTGAATACCATTTATTCTTAACTGTACATCTTTAATTAGAATTTTTGGCATTTATAATTTTCTAATAGAGAAAGAATTTAACCTTAATTCGATTTTTTCATTATCAGCAAGTTTGGTTGGTTAGGTTAGGTTATGACAGTAATTGCCGGACGTCTAATCGACGTACGGTTACCGGACGCGTATCCTCTGCGATAAATCAATCTCCGTTAGGAATCACAAATAAATCAGATGCCACTGATAACAATTAAAGACTAGGCCTATGTTTAATTTTTAGCTTATATAATTTAAGTTTTACGTTGGTTCATCTGTTCTAGGACTAAGTTAGGCCTAGTCAGTTTTGAAAATTGAGATTAGGCCTACTATTCGTATTGAGATTCCATCTGTTTAAGTTATGCTATGATGTAGCAGACGCAGATGACCAGCCGCAGTCATCAACCAGGAAAGGAAGGCTCTTCTTTTTCAGTGGCCAGTTTTTATTTGTTTGCAATAAGTGATCAGTCAGGCTGTAGACGTTTATGTCCGAAACCCCTTAACTTAATCCCGATCAGTCAGTCTGACTTTCGCGACCCATTCAAAATTGACTTTTAGGCCTAAATCTATTTAAAAAACATTAGGTTTGATGAGTACCTAGGTTTGCTGCTACAATGAAACTAATAAAGTGTATTTTTTTGATAAAATATAATTAGCTTAGTATATAATAAATAAATTTGCCAAGTTTGATAAAAATATATCCATAAACAAGCAAACTACTTACAAAATTTTACAATATTCTCCATAAGAATAACATGGGAATTTTAAAATTAAAATTTTTTTGAACTTTCTCCGTTACCAATAACCATAAAAAAACACATTGATATACTAAACTAAGAAAAATTAGATACAAATTAGGAAATTTTCTGTTTTGAGGGTCAAAAATGAGAAAAAACATTTTTTACCCCATAAAACCCCCCGTTAAACACCGTTCCCATGGTCCGATCACGCTGGTTCGCGAACTTATTCAAGTTTATCCCGCCTTACACCACGTCAAATCGAGGGACAGAAATATTTTGTCATGGTAGTCTTTTCGCAATGAAAACCAAATTGTTATAGCCTATGCTACATTTTTTTAAAATTTAATAACTATTGATGACATAAAAATATGGCATTATATATTTCGGCATGAGTAATTAGTCTAAAAACAGTGTGAAAGTTGAAAAATGCACCCTAGGGACAACGTGATGGTTGTGAATTTTGAGACTTTAAAAATACAAAAAAAATATCTAGAACATGTTACCCCCGTCCCAAAAAATATTAAACTGACTTTCAATTAAAACACATAATAATATACTACAAATACAGTATCTACGAAATAAAAGGCCAGGTCATTAAAACGTACGTTTCAAAATGTTCACTCAATAAAGTTAAAGGATTTTGACAGAGTAGCTAATTAAGTGATCATCGATTATTAATACTTTCTTATTAAACGGCGACAATACAAGTAGGTATTTCTAGCCAAGTATGAATGGAGATGAGTGTAGGATGAGTGGCGCGATCTTGTAGTCTTGTTAGTGACTAAGGCCGACATTCCTTCGACACAGCTGTTAATTGATAGCCCATACAGCTAATGGCAACTAAGGGACCTACAGTTTATAGTGGAATCCGAACCACATTTTCGCCTTGGTATATACAAATTGGTCTAATTATTAGGATAGTACTGCGGATAGTCGTAGTGCTCACTGGTGTGGACGTTAATCCACACCAGGGAGTATCGCATCCACAGTGCATGCCTATAAATATCCACAATTCGTGACCTCCTAGTAGCTGGATTACAGGACGACGCCACCCGTCACCTGATAAATTTGCTGTTCCATTGAACGGTTATTAACTGTAAAAAACTAATATAGTTTTAAAGGTACCGGTATATGAATGGCAGACTTATTACTTTTAACTATTTGTGCTTTCAATAATTGATGATACTATATTAATAAACAATTCAAATCTGTTCTATGTAAGCAGCAGAGCTACACAAAATTATTTAGTTTCACCATGGAGTTAGTATGTGGTTTCACATTAAGTTAGTCCCGTTCAAATGAACAACCTCATTTGGGTTTCTGTGTCATTAAAACTATTAAATCAATCTTTTTTTATGTGTCCACACCAGTGGCATTTTGTATTAATTCATTACAAACAATTTTAAGGGAAAAGCGGTCCAAACCCATTAAAGTTTTGTGGATGTGCCAGGAAACAAACTCGTCCCTCCCTCACTGTAGTCCGAGACGGTAACCACTAGGCTAGCATCACAACCATATTTTTGCTAAGAATTAGCAATATAAATTGTGTCATTAATTCAACAATGTCATTTGTTGGTGTGTAATGAGCAGAGGCGGAAAAAGTGTATGATAAGTAAAAAAATCACTGAGTAAAAATCATTCTTGAAGATGGTTGACAACACATATACAATACTAGATCCTAACACAATGATCACTAGTAAAGTAACATCTTTTTCAGTGCTGGGTGCTATGTCATTCACAATGGGACTTTTAATAATTGTTTTTCTGTGTCTTACAATTTGCCATCTGAAGGCACAAGAGCTCCCACGCAACTACAAGGTTATTGTTGATGTGACTTCAACAGTGGGAAACTTAAGAAGAATATGGGATAACACAGGGCTAAGGTGCTGAGAATCATCTTATATATATATATATATATATATATCTTAAAGGCAAATTTTTCTAAATGCAACATATTTGGAACAAATTTAGGCCTACTTAAATAGTTAAATGATCCTGAATGAATTGTGCTATGATCTTCCTTCAACGTTGCTTAGTAATAAGGAATCTTTCACAGTTTTGAACTAGGCTGTAGTTCCTTTACTGCACACGAAATTAGTGATACTAAACCAATACATATACCTACTGTGTATGCATTGATTTCTAAGTTGTATGTGGTTGTTGGGGGATTTTAAGTTTTGTTAGATCCTTAGGTTGAAATCATCGTGCATGGGAGAGGCTAGAGTGAAGCGGAGAGCGTAGCTGAGAGTTTTTTACCCCTGATGGTAGCGGCGCTTCGCATGCACATAGAGAAGCGGCGAATGTAGCGAGTCAAGAAGCTGGATTACAGTAAATTTGAATATAGACAAAACTGAATTTTTCTTTATATAAGAGTGAAATGAAATTATTTTGTAAAGAAAACAATAAAAATAGTAAAAAAATAGTGAAATCCAACAAAGTGGCTATTCAGTATGATTAGGAAATATAACGGCGTAAATATTTTAAATAATAAAGTTGCATAACATTTCTAAGAAACTTTTAATGATTTTTTAAAATTAGTAAATAGGCCTACTGTTTTAAGATAAATTTCATATCCTTAATTGAATATATAGCCTAGTCAAATGGTGTTTTGAAATGGAAAATTTTGGTGTAGTTGTTTTCTTTTGTTTTGTTTATGTTTTTTGGGGTGCTGAATCAAGGCCCCACTAGAAAAAACAGGCCATGCTGCAGCGCGGGTAGCGCAACACTACGTCACAGTGGTGGATAGTTGTACTAAACTCTTACCATTAAAATCTTACAAACAGCCAGCTTGTTTATTTACCTAAAACATATGGGAATGGTGATGGCAATGAATTTATCAATGAAATCTATCCACTAGTGTGACGTCATGGATCCTGCAGCATGGCCTGCTTTTTCTAGTGGGGCCTTGGCTAAATCCAAATTTTCCAAGTTCCAACAAAAATGATATCAGCAAGTATGAAATTTATTGAAAAATAGGGTGAAAATTGTATTTTCTCTAGTTTTTGGCTCATAATTTATTGAATAATAATTTTTCCCAAATATCATCCTATACTAAAATAAAGAGCATAAAATTCTCTACAGTTTATGTCACTATAACTTTTATCTACAACAAAGAAGCTTTCATCAAACAAAATTTAAAAGTTCTGCAAAATTAATTGATTTGAGGAAAAAAGCAAAACTACTTTCTGTTATGACTTCTCCAGGTTATAATAGGATCTAAAAGTGTAAAACGTCCCATAAATCTTGTTTTATTCATAAAAATTAAAAACTTTTAATTTAAAAATAAATGTACACCAGCATAATGGTAGATGATGTTAGATACAAATTACTTTGATTAAGTTAAACTTTTTAATTTCTCCGAGTCTTCTTGGCCAACGGTACCATGATTTCTGCAGAGCTACTTTCAGGTTCTTTTTCACCCAAAAATCCTTTTAAGATTTGGTTCTTCAGTATGTGTGAATGCTTTACATAAGGCAGACTTGGCCTCTTTCCTTATACCAAAGTCAACGAATAGAGGCATTGGGTACGGGCATAGTTTGTATTTGAAAAAGCCTTCAAGTTCCTCATCAGACTGCTTGGCAATTGTCATTCTGTGAACAATAGTAGTTGGATTGATAGGTACAATTAAGGTCATCATGTATTTTAAAGGAATGGATCATTGTAGAAAGTGGCAAAACTCTGTCTTTTCTGTAAAACATTACCTGTTGAAAATCACTTATCACGATTGGCTTTAAAGCAATGTGGCCAATCTCCTTAGCCTTGTGGCAGTTTATATTGCTGTCTCCCACAACAGCGAATGGTTTGTGTTGCGTAAACCAATCATCTAACTTTTTTATTCTAGCTTATCTCATTTTAACTTTTTGTTCAGAGCTGATTAATTTCACTCCACACATCTTCTCTGTTTCTTCGCAAATGTTTTGTAGTGAAGTCATTCTTTTGTCCATCTGCACAGAAACCCTTCACTTACACCACGGTCATGGGTAAACGCTCCAGCAATTTTCATTACTCTCATAACAGGTTTCTCTATGGACATTTCTGTCCTTGATCCACTCCAGAACTTGTTGGTCCTTTAAACGGTAAATCCACCACCAATAAGACATTGTCAAAATAATAATCACTTTGTAGACTAACTATACTTGTTGGTCAAAAGTGTACACAGTTGCTTGTTGATTCACAGATTTGCACTGTTCCACTGAAGTTAGTAGTGCCGTGTATATGTTGTAATCAGATGGCGGAGCATTAATAAAAGGCAAGCAAGCTACAAACGTTGTTTGAAAAGGGAGATTATTTGTCGTTTGTTTCATGAATCCACCCCATCCTAAAATGTAGGACACATATTCCACTTGCAGAAAATCCACATAAAATCCTCAACAGAGGGTTTGTCATTATCTTTTGATGTATATAAGTTGCTGAAATCCACAACTGTTATATATCTTGTAGCCCATGAGAATTTCCTTTTTCAAAACATTTTAAGGAAACAAACTCCAATCTCCCCTACTTCATGAGCGGGTAAAATACTTTTAAGTCCGTCTGTTTTCTGATCTGGAGCAATAGCACTTTTTCGTATTATCAGATGTATCCGCCCTTGCATGGAATTTATTATATCCATCCAAAATACGAGTATTAAAATCAGCATTGTTGTAAACAAACTGATGAAATGCCGTGGAGTCTATTTGCAAAGCTGGTCTCATAATTACGCACACTTCCAGTCGAACGACCTGAATAAGAGGCGCGAGATCCTAAAGATGAGACAATATCAATAAATTTTCTCTACCCAAACTTTTTTTAAAAGAAAGCTGATAACCCTAGTTGCTAAGGGGACAAAAAAGAAGAAGGTCTGACAGCGCTAATAATACTGTGTGTAATTGCTAAGGCAATTTTTATCCATTTACCCATCCCCACGCTTTTTGAGGAACAGTCTTTCAAGGAAAACCTTATTTTGGGAACAAGATCTTAATTTTTTCTAAAGGGATGTGGAGGGAGATTCATTTGTTTCATACACCATTGATCGTATCTCTTCAAGGATTACGTCCGCATACGTTCATTTATGTAACTTTTCTGGTAACGTACATGACGATGAATGAATGCATAACATGCGAGTACTGACGTCTACACTACAGTAGCAGGCTGTGAGCAACAAGTAGACGCCTGTCGGAGCCTCACCCCCCCCCCCCTACGGTTGTACATATATTTTAAAATTTATATATATATGTGTCCGTTAGCACGATAATTCGAACAAAAAACATAAGATTTTGATGAAATTTTTTATAAACTTCTAGACCTACATTTATTCGGACGAGTTCGCGAGCCATCATGATCAGTCTATGGGAACGGGGGTTTTGGTGGGGTTATATGGGGGTAAAATTAGTATTTTTGACCCTAAAAGCATACAATTATGCAATTTCTCCCAAACAATTTTGTAGAGATTTAAAAACAACTAATTTAATATATTCAAACTGTAATATCATAGACAATAGAGTATTTCTTTTTGTCTATGGTAATATGCACCTAATAGTTACGGAGGAAAAAAATACATTAAAAATTCCCATGTTATTCTTATGGGGAATAAGTAAACTGTTATATTTTGCTTGTTATGAACATATTTTGATAAAAAGTGGAAAATGTATTCATTTCATACCAAACTATTACCATTTAAAACACTTTTTACCCTCCCTGTTGCAGCAAACCTAAGCACTCGTTAAACCAATGCTATTTAAATGGGGAACAAATGCGATATTTTTAAAGTGATGTTCTAGAGTAAATTGAATCAGGCAAATGGAAATTCGCTTAGTATGCCCCGGACCCCCCTTGTTTGCTGGGGGGGTATTCCATACCCCCCATACCCCCCGGTGTTTGCCCCCCCAAGGATTTGGTGAAATGACGCCACTGAAAAAAATTAACGGAAAAATAGTATCAATTATCAATTATTTAAGATGGGGACGCCACTATGTGCGTATTTAAACCCAAATATTAGTGAAGGATGAGTAACGCGAACTTATAGTCTTGTTAGTGACTAAGGCCGACATGTTCCTTAGACACAGCTGTTAATTAATAGCCATCCAGCCTATGGCAATTAAAGGGACCTACAGTTTTTATTGGAATCCGAACCACATTTTTCTTTTTAATTAACTAATTGGTCTAATTTTTAGGATAGTACTATAGGGATAGTCGTAGTACTCACTAGTGTGGACGTCAATCCACACCAGGAAGTGTCGCATCCACAGTGCATGCCTATAAATATCCACAATTCGTGACCTCCTAGTTGCTGGATTACAGGACGACGCCACCGTCCCAGTCAGTAAAACTTAGCAAAGTGGCCATTCATTGTGTAAAACTGCTTACATTTATTTAAAGTAATTCTAATTGCATAACATTTCTATAAACTTCTAATTATTGTTGTGGAAAAGAGTAAAAAACCCGTTTACTAGATAAATTACTCATAAAATATATCACTTAAGGGGAACACTGTACCTTTTTGACAGGAATATAATTACACATTATTAATTTAAACACAGTAATAAAATTAGTCCTAATCCCAAACAGGACAGTGGTGTTCAACAACTGACGAAATAAATTGGATTTTAAAGTCAGTTTGACCTCTGAGGCTTGACCTTCAACCTTACCATCGGAGTAGAATATCGGAGCGTAGAGGCTAGCATGTTGCCGCGGGTACCAGCTACTCTCTCACTATGTTTTGGCGCACCTACGTACATTTAAAACCCGCTTAGCTATACGCTCTCCGCTACGCTCTAGCCTCGCCGCTCCAGAGCCACATTGAAAAAGCATAAAGTCATAGAAGTAAGAAACCAAATTGGAACGCTTTTTATACATCTAGGTACTACTGTATATCTACTATGATGCACATAACTATGCAATATCTCCTGTGCCTAATAGGAAGTATGGCCCTGTGTGTATGATGTTTGAAATTCTACAGAGTATACGGTACACAAACAGTTTTTTAAATGTTAAAACTAACTGTAGATCTATTTAAATAAGTAAAATATTCATTCATCCCACTTACTTAAACAATTTCTGATAACATTGTCTGGAAGTTTAAACCCTGAAAATTTATAATAATACTACAGTTGAACCTCGATAGTACGAACCTCGGTAGGCTAAAATGAATTCCTCGATAAGACAAATCTTTTCAAATCCCCTTAAAACTTTCATAAACGTCAATTCTAAAAAAACCTCTATACAATGTATAGTGATTAGGCTAAAAACCTCCATAAGACAAATTTGTTTGTCACATGGGCTAGGACTGATTAACCTCTATCCAACGAATATTCTAAGCACAAAACCTATACAAGAGAAATGTGACCTCCATAAGACAAATGTCTCATGATCTTAATCACCATAGTACGTAGTTTTCAAAACAAACAGAAGCATGACTCAACATGAAACCCCCACCCATCCTTCTTCCTTCCTCAGTCATTGTTTGGCACGTGTCTGTGCAGAGGAGAAACTTCTATAAGACGAATGACGGCAGTATTAAACTATTAATGCTAAGTTATTAAAAAAATAATAAATCAAGGTCACCTATGATTAGTTACTATATTTTGAAAAAAATATGTTGATTCATTGCTAATGTTTGTTTCTATCTCAGCCCTCCAGGTCCAGGAGAACAGTCAGTCAGATACTTAACATCCAGAGATATGCTTGTCAATCTGGCTCTTGTGGGATCCCTTCCATTCAAAGGAATATCCCATGTCAGAATACATTGGCTACTAGATTTGATCACAGTGGAGTAAGTAATGTTTAGTAAAAAATATCAGTAGCCAATAAAAAAGTCCAATAAAACAGGTAAAACCCAGTCAATAAAGACCAAAATATGGCCGATGTCGAAACAAATTATAGCAACAGGCAAGACTATATACCAAGTTAGTACCCAACTAGATAACATTTTACCAAAAGTCCCTAAAATTCCCCAATGCTTTCCACCCAACCACCCCCCCCCCCCCCCCAAAGCTAGAAATTGCAATTTCCTAAATCACATTTAAATCCAAAATGGTTTGGTCAATCGCCATTTATTTTTAATTCTTCGTGATCCTTATGAATGTTCAAAAATAAAGTTCCTTTACACTTTAGCAATAATTTCAATACTTTCTTCACAATTTAATAACTTTTGAAATTGAGCAAATTTTAAGTAAATGGTTTAGTTTTTCTGTCGTGTTTTGTTTAGTTGCTGAAAAAATGAAAAACACTTCCTCTAAAAGTTATGGAGAGCATATCTTTTTGAACATTTTTATTTACATACGAGGCATGTTTTTTAAGTAAGTACCGTTTTTAAATTTCTCTGTTCCAGCGCTGTGATTGGCATTTTTGACATTTTGTGCTGTGTATTTGCATCTATTGGCAAGCCTAGATTGGCAATGCAACAATTCATCAGTAATGACAGATGGTCGGCGGCCGCCCAGTTCGTTGCTCATCATAACCATTGGTGCGGCCGTCTGTAAATGACCTTACCCATTTGCGTACCATTCCGTCACTCACAATGTTCTCACCAAACACTTGACTAATCTGTCGATGAATTTCAATGGCTTTCTCACCTATAGCACTTAAAAATCTAATTACAGCGTGCACTTCACAGTCGGCGGAAGTATCAATTGGCGACACCATTTTGAATGCTCGAAACCGGATGTATAGCACTTAAAAATCTATGTACAGTGTGCTCTTCACAGTCGGCGGAAGTATCAATTGGCGACACCATTTTGAATGCTCGAAACCGGATGTAAATACGTTCGATTGTTGCCGAATTTCCAGCGCAGGCTTGCCAATAGATGTGTTACACATGCCTGATAAGGTGTTGCACATACTTAGCACAAATGTCAAAAATGCCAATCACAACGCTGGAACGGAGAAATTTAAAAATGGTACTTACTTAATAAACATGCCTTGTAATTATAGGATTCTGATATAACCATAGGCAAGTACCCAACAAAACGGGAGGCTGAGCCTTTGCCGCCGCGCCTCACCGCCTGATAGCCGCGAGTGAAGTGATCAACCCAGATTAAGATACGGAATGAGTTTGTTATGCAATATAAATTATCTATCAGGAGGGTTTGACTAATATTGTCAAAATTACCTACATAGTAAATTTTGGTGTTGCATTTATTTATCTTTTATTCGTTATATCCTGTACATTAATAGGCAAGCATGTTTCTTGGAAACCTTTTTTTTAGCTTGTGTGCATCACAAGGAAAATCTACGCATACTGTTAGAAAGATATTTTTTTGTAAATGTGCAGAATCCCTTTAAAAATGAAAACTAGGGGGCCCTTAGCAGCAATTGCTGCACCTTCGTTGTAATTTGCCCTTAACCATTCCCTATGCTGTGCACCATTCCTAAATACTCTCCTTTGTAGTTGCGGCCGTCCCCTAACATGATACATTCTAACTCTGCATTACCATTCTAACCTAAAAATACCCCTGCCGCAGCAAACCTGTCAGCTAAGCGAATTTCCATTTGTCTGAATTGATTTTTAATCAAATCTATTTAAATAACACTATTGTACCTGATGCTCGAATTCGAGCAATTACAAAGTATTAGGTACAGGCGTTATTTTAAAACAAATAACAGTCATACTTTCCGATGACCTTAAAAGATTATGAAAATACTCACGATGTACATAACAATTCGATATAATCAAAATTTCTTGTAAATATCTTATCATTTTTCAAAAGCTGATCTTGTTTTTTAGTGTTTTCTACAAATAGCCTTACTCATAGCCGCATTAGGTTGTCCATAATAACGATTATACATTTTTTAAAGTCATTATTTCTATTTCTTCTCCTTGGCGGTGTTCTATGACTTTCTATGTTTACATAGTTTGCAAATAGGCTCTTTCAATGATTACTAAGAAATTCAGCACAGTGTTAATTCAGTTTTCTTTTTAGTATATCAATTTATCCAGGCTTTCTCGCTTTTTTCCATTGTAATATTTACGCCAACCCAAATTCAAATAGTAAATATTTAATTTCTAATAAGTAAGTAAATGTTTGTAGCAAAAAACTGTTAAATTAGCAAACTATTGACCGTTTACATATAACACATCTTCTTCTCACTTTTAATTTCTGACAGCAACTGGAGTTTCATAACAATGTTTGTTTCCCATGTTAATCTTATGGAGAAATACGAAACTTTAAAGGACCACAGGGCCCTCACTCTCTAATTATTTCCCAAATAAAAAAGTTTCCTGCACAATTTCACGTTACGCTCTTTCCAATGACCCCAAAAACATGTCAATCGGTTCTGTAGTTTCGGAGGAGTAATTGTCACAAAAAACCTGCATGCGTATTAAATAAGTAGAGATTAGGTTTAACGAGTACCTGGGTTTGCTGCTACAAGGAAACTAAAGTGTTTAGTTATCTTTTTTAAAATAAACTAGCAAATGAAGCCTGCACACACACAGAGAGTGAAGCTTAATACAAGAGTCAATCATTTGCTCAAGTAATTAATTTTTATATCAGGCCACATGCCTATCTTTTTAAATCAAATAATTATAAATGGATAAATAGTAGAACACCCACTATGTTGAAAAGTTTTTTTGTCATCAATTGTGTTGGTTATTCAAACAAATAATAACCAGAATCCAGTGCTTAAGTGTAAAGATAGTTTGCTGTAAAACAACTTGTTTAATTTGGGGAAATGTGTCTGAAGCAGACCTTACTCATTTTTGTTAATTGTAAAATAATGAACAGTAACAACTGGCAGTACCGGTTTTTTAAAAGTGAAGTGTGGTTCAGCATTCATTTATCCTCCTTGGCTTTGCTAATAAATACAAAATTCTTTTAGTAGAAATTTGTAAGTGTAACCCCATCTAAGTTTCTGTTATGCCTAACAAAAATTATTTTGTTTTTCAGAGACAAAAGTGTCCCATTGTATGACTACAGTTTGTTGGACGACCTGCTGTTGTGGATGAGACTTCATAGAATGAGACCAGGGTTTGAACTGATGGGCAACCCAGGCAATCTCTTCAGTGATCTTGACTCTAACCCAAATACTATTATATTGTGGCAGAATTTTATCATAGAACTTGCCCAACATTTAGTAAGTGAGTACAACTATAGATTAAACGTTGCTTAGTCTATGGTACAACATTGTTTATGTTTTATTTCTAGGTATGTAATTGAAAATTGATTTAAGGAATTATTAAGGAATTATTTAACTTTAATTAGTGCCTCAACTGTTTAGAGATCCACCATGAATTACAGATGGTCTGCAGCAATTGTTATCAAATCATCTATGCTGAGAATAGCGTAGAGAAAATCATGAGGGGGTATCCTTATCCTCAAGTTGTGCGTGCTCACTTGTTGCTGCATTCTGCGTTGGTTTCCTTAATTTGGGAAACAATTGAGCTTACCGATTATGAAATCAACACACTTGTTAACGAACAGCAATACTCATTGCCTGCTCAGATAATGACTGCCTGCAGGGTATAGCTGCAATATTCAGCCAAGCCTTGTGCACAATTGAATGTAAGGGGTCTACTGCGAAATTATGGGTGCAATATTTTCGCATGATAACCCTTCTCAAACAGTTGTTTGAACAGAGCATACTGGCAACTAGAAGCTCCATTTTGATTCAGTTCGGAAGACATTACCATTCTTCCACGCAGCGGGCCACTTCTTTTATGCTAAAAGGGCACACCCCTATCTACAAGACATGTTTAAGTTAGAACAAGTTATGGACCCAACCCAATCGAATTCCACAAGTTCACTGTGGGAGAGAACTTCACCTTAAGACGATCTATGAAATTTTGGTTTGGTATATGGACTGATCAATCGATTGAACAAGTTGTCATGAAGACGATGAGAGCGCAAGGAGGCCTTACACACGGGAGAGGTTATTCTGACAATGTTTTGGCTACCTCCAAATTAGTGTAACCGAGCGGTCGGACATGTTCAAAGCAGATGCTTGTTTTCGGGCGGGCCTATGAGGACTGTTTTCCACAGCTGCTTGAACTCCATCGAATGTTAGTTGTCTGTTTAAAGTTAAGTCAATTTAAAAGAATCTTTTACTTATGTTTGCGCCCCCACCTCTAAGTTGTCGAACACCCCTGGAGGCAACGGCATGGCTTTTACACTCACCTAGGCCCCCATTACCAAAATCAAAAGTCAGTTAAAAAAAATCTACTTACGTTCAATAACAAGGGAGTTAAAAGTGGTTTACTGATTAACGTTTATCGCAACTTTTCGCCCCCACCCCTAAGTTGTCGACCATCCCTGGAGGCGACGACATGGGTTTTTACACACACCTAGGCCCCCATTACCAAAATAAAAAGTCAAAAACTCTGACTCCTTTCATGTATACTCAACTGTACCTACACCTCACCTCGCCTATAAAGGATAGAAGGTATGGACGATTTATTTAATGTCAAAAATATCTCGGCATAGACAAAGTGTTTGGTTGGTAAAGCAAATGTCAATTGGTGTGGTAGGTATCTAGAAAACTGTCCAATAAGCTGCAGGGTGCCAGCAGAAACCAAATTCGATTCTTACCACACCATTATCCAGGGCCGATTTACCAAATAGGCACGGTAGGCACGTGCCTAGGGCGCGAGGCAATTGGCTTTTTTTGGGGGCGCCAAAAAATTGGAAAATAAAAAAATTGTGGTTGTATTTGCATGCAATCGCGGTAAACTTCTGATGATCCCTCGCGGCCTTGTAGACATCGTAATCGTCTCCCGCGATTGCGGCAAAATTCTGACTATTTTCCGAGGTCGTGTAGAAATAATTATCGTCTTCCATGATCGCGGCAATATATGAACATATTCCGCGGTCGTGAGGAGATTGTCATCGTCTACCGTGAATGAGGCAAAATTCTTATCTTTTACCGTGGTCGTGTGGACATTATCATCGCCTTGCGCGATCGTGGGCAAATTCTGATCAACACTCGCGGCCGTAAAGACATCATTAAGTTGTCACCCGCGGTCATGTAGACATAGTAATCGCCTCCTGCGATTGCAGCAAAATAGTATTAATCTCCCACGCTCTTTTGGAGATCATTAGGCCTACCGTCTTCCGCAAATAAGTCAAAATTTTGATATTTTCCTGCGATCGAGTGGACGGACATTACATATTCTTGCGCGATCGCAATATAAATCTGATCACCCCTCACGGCCCTGAAAACATCTTTATATTGTTCCCAGTGATCGTTTGAACATAGTAATCGCGTCCCGCCATTGGGGCAAAATGGTAATCATCTCCCGCAACCATGTGGAGATCATCGTCTTCCGTCAATGGAAAAATTCTGATTTTTTCCCGTGGTCATGTGGACATTATCATCGTCTTGCACGATCGTGGCATAATTCTACATCCCTCTCATCGGCCTATTATTATTGTATCTCCCGCAGTCCTGTAACCATCGTAATCATCTTCAGCGGTCGTGAAAACATCCTAATCGCCTCCCGCGATTGCGGCAAAATGTTAATAATTTCCCGCAGTTGTGTGGAGATCATTATCGTCTTCGGCGATCGTGGGCAAATTCTTGCTGTTTCCCGCGGTCGCGTGGGCATTATCATGGTTTTCCGTGATCGCGGCAATATTCTGATCATCCCTCGTGGCTTTGTAGATATCATCATGGCGGTCTGTTGTTATGCGCAATCACGGAAAAATGAAAATTCCAGGTAGAAAATACAAATTTAATGCATAATTCCCGGTTTAAAAAACTCACTCATAATTCACGGATTTCCCAGTTTTCCCGATTTGTGGACATCCTGTTATGTATATTGCAAAGGGGAGCTACTATTATTTGTGCCTAGGGCGCTGACAGGGTCAAAAACGGGCCTGCCATTATCCCAGTATTACTGTACGGTTCAGAAACTTGGGCCGTGACCAAAGAACCAAAAAACCTTATTGCTGGGTTTGAGAATAGAGTGCAGAGAAAATATACGGACCATTTCAAGATAATAGCGGTTGAGATACGAAATAACAGAGAGATAAGTTCCAATAATAATATTTACTACCCCACCGTTTGTTGCAATCAACCTCTACTGACTGGTCTATAAGGGGCGGAGTCCAAAAGGATTTTTGAGATAAGAATATGTCTATATGTTAATCGAGAATGTGTGCTATCATCAATTTATCATACCACATTTCAACCCAATCCCACCAGTAGTCAATGCGCGATTGAACTTCAAACATACAAACATTAACATTTATAATATTAGTATGATAATTTTGTAAAAAACTAATTTATTATATTTTGTAAAAGAATTTTTTTGAAAAATTATTGGTTAATTTTAGTGAGTTTCCCATATAGGAAATAAGCTATTACCGTAGTACTCATGGTAAGACCTGGACCCAGGACCAATTTACTTTTTCGTTTTGAGGTCCCTAGAGGCCAAAAACACCATCCGTTCAAATTCATATATATGTGTCCGTTAGCACGATTACTCGAGCAAAAATTATCCATTTTTTTAAAATTTGGTACAAACGTGTAAACCTACGTTTATTCAAACGAGTTTGCGAACCAGCATGATCGGACTTTGGAAATAGGGGTTTATAGAGCATGTTATTCTTATGGATAAAATTGCTACGGGTATAAGCTTGTTCCTTCAAGTAACCCCATAAAAAGAAGTCACACACAGTTAAATCTCCAATGTTGTAAACAAATTAGATAATAACTCAAGAAAGTTTTTTTATAGCAAGCACATTGGTAAACTTTTCAATATGCGGCCATTTTGTTTCTACAAGGGTTAGGGAGTTGAAATTTTCCCGTAATGTTTTTAAAACCTACTTTATAAATTGTGTAAAGTTTCAAAATGATCGGTTGTTAAATGGGCAAGAAATATAAAATCAAACGTTTAAACCTCTTCGTGGACCACCCTGTATATATATAAAATTTTAAGGAATAGTGTTTTTGGCCCCTAGGGACATTAAAATGAAAAAGCATATCAGTCCGGCTCCAGGTCTTACCATGCCACCTACAAATAGCTACTTCCCTATATAGGGAAATTTGCTAAAACACTGTAGTATTATGTTGTTTTTTTTTTTTCTTTTTTTTTTTCAGGTATGTACGGAAAAGAGGAGGTTAAGAGATGGAGATTTGAACTGTGGAATGAACCTGACTCAAAACAATACAACATCCTCAATTTGACTGTTTCAGGTAAATAAAAAAAATATATATATACAACAACCATCATCTTATAATACTGTAATTATATATTGTCGCATATCAAAAGAGCTGATTAATCTGAGTCCGCTTAGTATAACACCACCCAATGAGCAAACTCAGCTGATTTGTATTGTTAACAAATTGTGTTGTTTGGTTGCCAACCTAGTGATGCGGCTGTATTCAAACTATTATCTGTGAGTATAAATGCAAAATATATAAATATATTGATTGTAAACCGATAATTCAAAATTATTTTTACTCTTAATGCAGCCTCTACAATTAGAATTTGCACATACTCAAGCCTCTAAAATTCGAATTTTGTTGCCGTAGTTCAAACTGTAACCTCCAAAATTCGAAGTCAGCCTCCACAATTTGAACTGTGTTACCGTAAGCCTCTGTAATTCGAATTCAGGACAAAAATATGCCTGTTGAAACATGAACTGACACTCTTATTGGTGTTCCCACAATGCATTCACTAGTTTCTATTCTCTCAAACTCTCTACACTTAAAACTGGGACCTCCATAATTAAAATTTTATTCATTCACATTCTATAAATGAAACTCTCTATATTTCAAAGTTCCCATAGTTCGAAATATATTGTCTTTCCTCTGAAATTCGAAGTAGCGAGGTTCTACTGTATTTGTACTGGCATATTTTTCACTAAGGACAGTCACTCCTTGCAATAGTACATTGAAATTGTGCCACTTCTCATTCTAGACTGGCCATGCAATATTACAACTAGACATTCCATCCCCTCCCCACGTTAAATTTGTAGCCAGTTTTCAAATCAAAATCACCGTTTGATGTGAGCCAGATTGTGCTGATCCAAATTAGTAATTTCTATCGAATGCACTTACTATTTATCAAGTCAAACTAATGGAATGATTTATTGTGAGCCTTAGCAACTGTTATGACCCATCAAGTTGGACAGCAATAAGGCTAAATAAGGTAGAAAATATCATTTTAGACACTAGCGCATTCTGTGACTGGCTCACACAACTCTGTTCACAACACATGTTCCTTTTTAGTGAATTTCCCATATAGGGAATAAGCTATTACCGTAGGTCTCATGGTAAGACCTGGACCCGGGACCAGTTTATTTTTTTGTTTTGAGGTCCCCAGAGGCCAAAAACACCATCCGTTCAAAAATATATATATATATATATATTTGTGATATTGGATCATATGTTAATTAGTCTTTATTTTATTGTCTTGTTGAAAGCATATGGTTTAGGTTTGTTTATGTTTTTATTGTGATGATTTGAGTTAGTGTTGAGATGGCATAAAGATAAAAATGTTCTTTCTCTAACTATTTTGTTTTAATGTGTGATTATACTACACTGGCAACGAGGATGTCTAGTAAGAAGCAGAAGAGTGATAGGATAGTTGATCACAGTGAATTGGACAGGAAAATGGAGAAGTTTGTCTTTGAGAAATACAAATGTGAAGAAACAGCAGAAGAGTATATTGAACATTTTTAACGTGTTTGTCGGGTGAAAGGATTGGGGGGTTCAGATGAGCGTAGTAAGGAAGCCAGAAAAGACTTACTTCTGCTTATGTGGGAAGTGAACCACTCCAGAAAATGGAAAAAAATTATTTCATCCCCAAGAACCTTGATTCTTGTTCTTATGAAGAAATGAAGACTGCATTCTTTACACTTTATGGTCCAAACCAAACTATTTTTGCTGCCCGTTTTGAGTTATTCAATGAACAATTTGAAGTCAAAGTAAGGCATCGTTGGCCGGACGGTGTAGAGACCGGTGGCAGCGTAGTCACGGCAGAGAGAGTGTTTCAGCTGGCCAGGTCCACGGAGCATGCCAGAAACGAGGTGAGTACCAGTTCTACATCGAGTGTATGTTTTGTTAAGAAGCGACAGTCAACTGGTCAAGGGAATAGATAGAGAACTGTGGCAGATATAGTTGTGTCAAGGAGAAATGTCCAGCAAAAGGCCAGGAGTGTCTAAAAACCATAAGTTAGGACGTTATGCTAGGGTGTGCAAAAGGAAGTTTGTCAGTAAAATTGACACTAAGTTTGCCGATGGAGAGCACAGTTCAGATGAGGTGGAATCTGATCTTCATGCTCTTAACAAGGTTTCAAATAGAACTCCACGCACCTCAATAAGAGTGAATGTTAATGGACTGCCCTGCCTTATGGAATTTGATTCGGGTGCTAGAATTTCTACAATTGGACAAACATTATGGAAGAAACTTGGCAAGCCCCTGGTTAAACCTCTCTCTGGGTTGACAGGCTATGGTCAAACACCTTTAGCATGTTTGGGCAAATGCTATGTGTCAGTGTGTTTGAATGGGGTGACAAGGAAGTTACCAGCAGCAGTAATGGAAAAAGATGATATTCCATTGTTTGGACTTCTGTGGATGGTATCATTTGGAATGAAACTTCCACCTGAAGTTACTGTTAAATCAAACGATGTAACAAATGAGGAAGGAAAGATAACTGAAGAGGAAGCTCAAGCACTAGTAAAGGAATTCGATGGGGTTTTCTCGGATGGGTTGGGTAAAATTGAAGGAGTAAAGGCTAGAATACATGTAAGGGAGGATTTTCAACCAATTGCACTAAAAGCCAGAAGAGGACGGTACCATTTCCTTTGAAAACTTCCGTGGAGAATGAGCTGAACCGACTTATTGAGTGCGGAGTCTTAGAAAAGGTTGATCCGAGTGAAACAGCAATAATCTGGGGTTAGGATTTGTGGAGATTTCCGGGTTACCGTGAACAAGGCGATTGTGCCTGAAGTATATCAGATGCCTACTTTTGCTGATTTGACAAACAAAATTGCTCAAGGCCGATTACTTACTGTAATTGATTTGAAAGATGCGTATTTACAGTTAGAAGTTGCTGAGGAAGATCGAAACTACTTAATAATAACTACTCACTTGGGTTATTTCCGCTACAAACGCCTAACATTTGGCTTAACTAATGCTCCTGCAAAATTTCAGCGTTTCATGGAAAATCTACTTAGTGATATCCCTTTGGTTGGGGTGAACATAATGATATTATAGTCAGTGGAAGAACCAAAGAAGAGCACCTGAGCAATGTCAGGACAGTGTTGAAACGTCTTGAAGCTGCAGGGATAAAGGCAAAGAAGGAAAAATGTCAATTAGGTCGAAACAGTGTCTACTATTTGGGGCATAAGATTGATCAAGATGGAATACATCCCAAGGAAGATAAAGTAAAGGCATTAAAGGAAGCCAAGACACCAACAAACATGAAAGAGCTGCGAGCGTTTTTGGGAGCCATTAATTATTATGAGAAGTTCATCCCTCATCTTCATGGCATTTGTTCAAGATTACATCGATTAACAAGTTCTAAGACTTCCTGGGTGTGGAATCAAGAAGAACAAGATGACTTTGACAGAGCACGCAATCTGATAGCGGAAGATGCAACAGTTGTTCCTTACCAAGATGATTTACCCATAACAGTATCCTGCGATACTTCAGAGGTAGGTGTAGCAGCAATCATTCTTCAAACAGATCACGATGGTGTAGAAAGACCAGTTGCCTTTGCTTTGCGTACTTTGCAGGAATCGGAAAAGCGATACTCGTCAATTGATAGGGAAGCACTTGCTTGTGTAAAACACTACGTGTTTTACATCAAGGACATCCCGGAGTTGAAGCTATGATGAGTCTATCAAGGTACTATGTGTGGTGGAGCAAGATTGACGAAGATATAGAGAAGTATGTGAAGACTTGTAATGGGTGTCAGATGAACCGTCCGAGGGAACCAGAGGTACCTCTGTACTCGTGGAATGTACCAGATGGTCCATGGTAACGTTTACACTTGGACTATGCTGGACCATTTGATGGGTGGTATTGGTTAGTTGGCGTAGATGCGTTTTCTAAATGGCCAGAGATATAAATGGTTAGATCGATTACGGCTGCTAGTACAGTGAACAAGCTACGGGAATGGTTTTCTTGCTATGGAGTTCCTAGCATGATTGTCACGGACAATGGGACACAGTTTACTGCAGAGGTCTTTGGGAAGTTTTGTAAGGATAACACAATCAAACATGTCTGCAGTACACCTTATCATCCGAAGACGAATGGCCATGTTGAACGGTTCATCAAAACCTTCAAATCGAGATATTTGTCCAGTAAGAGTGACAGGCAAGATCAAACACAAAAGTTGGCGAAGCTATTGTTTGCATACAGAAACACGCCACAAAAGTCCACGAGCAAACCTCCTTCAGAACTGTTTTTCGGCAAAAGACTTCGATCTCCATTGGACAATTTAAAGCCCACGGTTAAAGACGTGATAACAGAATCAGCTTTCAAACAAAAACAGTATCACAATGGTAAAAGTAGACATAGGGAATTTTCAGAGGGGGAAGAAGTCTGGGTGCAGAGAGAAATAGGTGCCGGCTGAACTGGTGAGCTTTCCTACCAAGTTCTTGTAGGTGGACTTCTGAAGCGAAAACACGCAGACCAACTACGTAAGAGAAGTGGAGCTTTATCTGAAGAGGAAGAAGTGTGATATTGGATCATATGTTAAATAGTCTTTATTTTATTGTCTTGTTGAAAGCATATGGTTTATGATTTTATTGTGATGATTTGAGTTAAAGTTGAGATGGCATAAAGATTAAAATGTTCTTTCTTTAACTATTTTGTTTTATTTTGTGATTATACTACAATATTTATATATCTATATCTATAAGAGGAAGTTTGTATATATATATATATATATAAATAAATAAACTATTTTTCATATAAATAAATAAATATATATATATATATATATATATATATATATTTGGCATACTTGGGAATAACGAATAGAAATTCTAACGAATAGCGCTATTCGTTTGTTTTTTTTGGCTAACTTCTATTTTATTCGTTAGTTTTTAAAAAGAGCTGGAAATAACTTCTACTCAGTTAGTTTAATAGACAACGAATAGATAATATATTCGCTAGTTTTAAATCGTTAGCTTTTCTGGTCAGGCGAAAGTATTTCCTGTGGGTTATTTATTTTACGTGTT